TGGAGCAACCTGGTCTGGTGGAAGGGGCTGCCCATGGCGGGGAGTAGGACTGCATGAGCTCTAAGGTCGTCCCTACCCAAACCAGTCTGTGACTCTATGATCTGTGTCTTCCCACCACTAGAAATGAAGATCTGACTTTCCAAGCATGGCTTAGACACAGTGCTCTACTGAAAAGACAATCCATGTTCCACAGGTTTCACAGATTCATATGTTGGTAATGTGTTGGAATGGACCTTAGAGATCATCTAGTCCCAACCCCCTGCCCTGGGCAGGGACACCTCCCACCAGAACAGGTTGCTCAAGGCTTTAGCCAACCTGGCTTTGAATACTGCCAGGGTTGGGGCAGCCACAGCCTCCCTGGGCAACCTGTGCCAGTGTCTCACCACCTTCACAGGGAAAACTTCTTCCTAATATCTAATCTAAATTTCCCTCTGTCAATTTCTCCCCATTCCTCCTTGTCCTGTCACTGTAGTCTCTCTGCAGCTTCCCTGGAGACCCTGCAGACCTTGGCAGGTTGCTCTGAGGTCTCCACACAACCTTATCTTTAGATTCTCTGCAGATCTGATTTCAGACTGGAGATAATGCAAAGCCTTGGATGAAGCAGCTGAAGAAAGATGGAAAAAATCTCAAGTTCTTTTTCTGTCTTCTCAGCCTTCATTGCCTTTTCATCCATGCCTGAACTGGCTCAGAAAATCAAGATGTTTTATGCCCTGGCTCCAGTGGCGACAGCCAAGCACTCCAGAAGTCCCTTAATGAAATTAGTCTCTCTCCTGGACAAGAACTTCAGGACTATTCCGGTGAGGGATAACTCCATGTCCTTCTGGCCCAGAACTCACTGGTTCTAGGAAAGGGATTGTGCTAAGACACAGCCCTTGGGGCTATCTCATGTGGCAGAAAACAGTTAATTCCTGATGATTTATTAGCATGGACATGACTTAGGTGCAGATGCAATTCTAGGTGGTCAGTTTGTTGAGTTCATCTTGTTCTGTAGGAGCTGCAGGCGTTGAAACTGGTCCTTCTGTGGGCACACTTAATGAATTCCTGGACAAAACAACACCTGGAAAACAGCAGCTTTGACATGCTGATTTTAAAACAGATCAACATGGCAAAGCTGCTCTTTTTCAGGTGTTGTTTTGGCCAAGATGTCAACAAGTGCCCCCATAGAAGGACTCTTCTCTTTCTCTTCACCTTCCCCAAGACTTGGATCCATTTTTCACTGCCATTCAAATCAACATGGCAAGACTTCTCTTTTCCAGGTGTTTTTGGACAGGAACTCCATGCTGATTTATATGACAGTGAAAAACAGATCCAACACTTGGGAGAAAAGGTGGAGGGGAAAGAGGAGAGTCCTGAATATTGATGTCCCTGGGGTGCATTCAGTCAACATCATCTCCTGCAAGGACCTGGTTACATGTCCACAGGGCAGTGGAGGAGAGAGCTTGACTCCTGCAGGATCTCTGTGGGATAGGACACCAACCAGCAGAAGGGAAACAGAGAAAATCCACCTTGCCCACCTGGGCCGGTCTCACCTTGAATATTGTGTGCAGTTTGGGCACTACAATGCAAGAAGAGTATTGAATTATTGGAGAACATCCAAAGGAGGCAATGAAGGCGGTGAAGGGCCTTGAGAGGAAACCACATGAGGATTAGCTGAGGGAACTTGTGTGTTCAGCCTGGAGAAGAGGAGACTGAGGGAAGACCTCATGGAAGGATGTAGAGAGGCAGCACTGACCTCTTCTCTCTGGCAACCAGTGACAGAACCCAGGGAATAGTCTGAAGTTGTGTCAGGGGAGGGTTAGGCTGGAGATTAAGAGAAGGTTCTTCCATTAAAGGGTGTTTGGACACTGAAACAAATTTAGGTTGGATATTAGGAAAAGGTTCTTCCCCCAGAGAGTGTTTGGGCACTGGAACAGGTTTAGGTTGGATATCAGAACAAGTTTTTTCCCCCAGAAGGTGTTTGGGCACTGGAACAGCTCCCCAGGGCAGTGGGGGCAGCCCCAAGCCCAAGCCTGACAGAGCTCAAGGAGTGTTTGGACAATGCTCTCAGGCACATGGTGGATTGTTGGGCTGTCCTGTGCAGGAGCTGGACTAGATGATCCTCAAGGGTCCCTTCCAACTCTGATCATCCTGTGATTTGCTTCCACAGCTGCTGTTTGGCAGAACAGATGCCTCGCTGCGGATGAAGAAGCTGTGGAGGTTTCTCCCTGAGCTGTGCAGGAATCAACTGCTGCACAAACCTTGTGCCAACATCCTCTTTCTGCTAGGGGGCTACAATGGGAAGAACCTCAACATGGTGAGTCTGATGCCCCAGGTGGGGATGAGGGAGTTGGAGTCCTATTTCTGTCCCCTCTTTGCCTGCTGACACCATGCCCAACCTGCTACTGCCACAGCAACATGGTTCCCTCTGCCAGATCCCTTGCTGCATCTCCTCCCAGGACAGGAGAAGTCCCCAGGATCTACTGGGTGAATGTCAGTGTCCTGGTGGCAATCCATAGCACCTATGAGCTAGGGCTACCTGTCACTGCAACACCTGGGGTGTAGCCCCTGTTCCTCCCCACTAACATCAAGTGTGCTGAAGGAGCCTCTAGGTGACCACAGGTGGTCACTAAGGTCTTGAGCATAGCCCCTGAGCCCAGAGAAGGTATCTCATAGAGCTAGGGGAATCTCATCCTTCATCCCCATCATTCTCCTCCCGGTGCTGTCTACCAGCAATTGGGTTTTAATGCTAATTATCTTCCTGAAACTGAGCCAACTCTGTAGGCAACATGACTCATCAGTGGCTGCTTTGGGAGACACATCACCTGGCAGTCCCACCCATGGAAAGTAGTGATAGCTTGGATCTGTTTCCTTGCAGACACGGCTGGATGTGTACACATCTCACTATCCTGATAGCACCTCTGTCAAAAATGTGATCCACTGGGCCCAGGTAGGTTCCCTCAAGCACAGATGCTTCACCCCTGGGATGGTTCCTTCACATAGAGTCTGTTGTATCCTGGGCAGAGGTGAGAGTTCAAGAATCTTCAACATTAGAAGCTCCTGAGAAGGTAAAGGCAAGGAATTTAGTGATAGAAGAAGTGTTGGATGCGGGTGAGCTGTCCTGACCCCTCGGGGGATCAGGATGAGCTGTCCTGGTGTCTCTGGACACTGGGGTGTGTGTCCTGTGCTGTGTCAAGCAGAACAAGGGGTGGGATAGGGAGGCCACAGCTGGATGCAGGGGCCAGTTTGAGGCTCCTAAGGATCCCAAAAGCATAATGAAGCTGGAGACACCATGGTGTTGGTGGGTGGAAGTCAGGGTGTACAAGGAGAGGCATGGGGAACTAGATGAGGAAGAAAAGAGGGACCCAACATCATCTCCCCCTGCCCAGAGGGGTCCTGGGCACCCTGGGGCTGCACTCTGATGATTCTGCTGCTGCTGCAGCATTGGCCCTGCTGGAAACAGGCTCAGGCTGGAGCCTCCCACTCTTGTGTTTCCTTGGAGAACCAAATTATAGGTAAGAGGGAAGGCAAAAAGGGGTGATCAGGTTGTTGGAGGAAATCCAGAAGCATCCTGCACACACAGCTGGGGATGAGCAGGTGTTCAGAAGGAATAGTGCGGCACAAGGGCAGCCAAGCAGTCACATGAACAGCTTGGTTCGTTAGCCCATAGCTAGGGACAGGCCAAAGCATCACCCTGTTAAAAGAGGTGGAAAATCTGGCTTTGGAGGGACCCACCCCCTCCTGCAATGTCCTGTGGGTGAGGACACCAACATCTTTCCTGTCCTGCCCATCCCCAACCACCTGGTGTGGCTGGAGATGGGCAGAGAGGGCAGGGATATGCCCAAACCCATTCTGAGCACCCTCTCATGATGTGATCCCTCAAGGAGGTCAGAAGATGCCACTGGCCTCTCACAGCAGATCTTTTCTCTCCTCCCAGGTGACAAAATCAGGAGAATTCAAAGCCTTCGACTATGGCAATGAAAACAGAGCTGTGTACCATCAGGTAGGAGACCTGGAGATGCCATGGGACTGTCTGGGGTAGTGTGGGGACATGTTGCCTTGCAGGAGTTGACCACAACAACAGTTCCTCAGAGTTCCCTGTGTCCCTCCAGGATAGACCACCCCTCTACCAGGTGGAGGAGATGCCTGTGCCCACTGCAGTGTGGTCAGGAGGGCAGGACTGGGTGGCTGACTGGAAGGATGTCCTCCAGCTGCTGCCTCGCATCACCCACCTCGTCACCTACACCCACATCCCTGACTGGAACCACTGGGATTTCATCTGGGGCTTGGATGCCCCTGGGAGACTCTACAGCAGCATCCTGAAGCTGATGAAGGAGTCCCCCCAGTAGAGCAGAGGCTCCTCAGGAAGATGTCAGTGGCCTAGCCCTTCTCCCTCAGCTGAGACAGCCTGAGGAGGTGGTGGAACAGCCACTGATGTCCCCTCCTTCCTGCTGGCTTCACATGCTTGTGGTGATGGTGCTTCCTATGCATCCCTTGGTCATCAGGGTTTGTCCTCCTTGCTTGTAAGCTTCTCAAGGACCAGTGCCACCAGGCATTGGGGCAGGAAGGAACCACCAGTCCTGCTGGAAGTGTCCCAAGATGATGGTGATGCTCCTAGTGCTCCCAGACTGCATGAGGGGGATATAAGGACCCTGCCATGACCCCACAGTGGCTGCCCGGTGGGTTGTAGATAAGAGCATCCAACTCATGAGGAGATGCTGAGTTTGCTGTGGGTGGAGCAGGCCGAGAGCAGCCTCCAACCATGGCACAGAGAGGGATGGAGAGGATGGATGAGGCCAAAACCTTGGGTTTCTGGCCCCAGATTGCAACCCAGAGAGGTTCAGGTTGGATGTGGAGAACCCTTGTCCCTCCAGACAGGTCTCCAGGGAAGTGGAAGGTTTCCACCTAAAGGGGCTTCAGGGCTTTGCTGGGCCAAGCCAGGCACTTCCCTGCATTGCTTGGTGCCAGAACCAAGGGTCCAAAAGTCCCCAGGGACCAACACACTGGGCATACCTATCCTCCATCCCTGGGAGCTGGTGACCCCCAATGTCCTGGGGCTGGGTTGCAAGGCCACTGTCCCCCCACGATCTTGCTGCCAGGTTGATGGCCCAAGGCACTGCACAGCCCCCACCATGCATTTCCACCCTGCTGCTTGCTGCAAAACTGGAGGCAGAGAAAATACCTCCAAAATAAACGTTCAAAGGGTATTTCAGGGGCCTGTGCCACAGCTCTGACACCCCTGGCTCTTCCTTGCATGTGAATATTTCCTGCGGGGCTGCTGGGGCCAGCAGGGATACGCCACTGCTTGTCCACAGTGAGGGGGTGACAACAGCCACCTGGTCATTGAGGGTGCTCTGGGGGGTCCCAGCTGGGAGCACCCAGCACCACACCACTGCCAGGGTGGGCAGGTAACAGGAACTCTCATTGGAAACAAACCCACCACACAGCCTTGGGGATGGAGAGCTTTATTGTGTCCATGATGGATTGGGAATCAGCAGTGAGCAGGAGCACTGGGGACAGCCCCTGAGGTGCCACCTGGGATGTGTATGGCTATGACAGTGGCTCCTCCACCTTGTGGGCTCATCTGCCACGACATAAGGTGGCTACAGGAGGGGGATGGGGAGAGGAGGAGGGTGGGGAGGTGGTCCTAGGGCTGCTCCTATGCCAGGAGTGGTCCTCCTCTCACACTCCATGGGCGCAGGCAGCTGGTTCATTGCCACAGCTGGATGCAGAGGCATCCTTCCATCCCTCCATCCATTCCTCCTTCCTTCCATTCCTCTCTCCACCCAACCCTCCATCCATCCCTCCATCAACCCATCTCTCCCTCTATCTCTCCCTCCCTCCCTCCCTTCATCCATTCCTCCTTCTTTCCCTCCACTGATCTCTCCCTCCCTCCTTCTATCCCTTCTATCCCTCCCTCCACTCATCCTTCCCTCCTTCCATCCGTCCCTC